ATTTTTTTTTAATATATGGTAATAATATTTTTATTATCATATTTATTATTTTATTGTCTAATTTATGTGATAAAATCTTTAATTAAATTTATAAGTTTTACATCAAGATAGAGATCTTGATAACGAGAGTATAATTTTTTATGATTTAATTTAAAATATTATTAGTCATTAGATTATTAAAATGTGACATTAATGATCCGGTAAAACTAATTTATATATGTGATAATCTCTATAAAATAAAGATTAGTTTATTCTATATATAGATAATGTATATAAAGATATGATCATTGAACTGACTCAATTGAGAATATCTAATTGTTAAAATTATTTTAAACTATCAATATAGTATTCTCTTAAAATGATGAGACGTAAGAATTTCTTTTGACTTGATATCATCATAATAATTAACAAGTCATTTATTATATTTTGATTTTAGACATTTATAATCATAAAACTATAGTTGAAATGAGGGTATGATTAAATATTTGTAAAATTAATGATTGATCAATACAGAATCTGTCAACTTTGGTAATTAATTTAAGTTCTATATTGTTATTTATTATAATGACTAAATTAACACTTTGAACATGGTAGTTGAATGAAAGAAGAAAAAAAAATTTGTATGTTGTTTATTAGTCAATTATAATTTATATGAAATATAGTTGGTTACCTATTGAAATTTAACAGTTAAACCATATCCTAAGATTAACCTGGATCAATAATGATATAATAAAATATTATATATTTTTTGAATAGGTTCTTAATAATAATTGTACATTTCATGTTATTCAGTTGTTGATAAGTGTTGCTAGATGCCAATCTTAATTAGTAAATTGGTTTGACAAATTTGCTACCGGTTTAATATTGAACTTATGGAGTCGCACACTAACGAGTGTTTTGACTTTTACTAAATGAATTAATTATTTTAATTATTTAAGAATTAAATTAAAAATTTTAATTTAATCAAATAAATAAAATTTTTGGTGTAAATAAAATATTATTATATTTTTTTACTAAAAATATAAATAATATTGAGGACAAATTAAATTTTTTTATTTTTTTAAAAAAATTAATATTTATATTTTATTATTATATTATTAATATAATAATATAATATGTGTGACTATTATTTATAATTGATGTTATTATAAAATTTAATTTAAAAATAAATTAATTTATAAAATTATTTTATTAAATAATAGTAATAAAAAATACAATATATATTATATATATATATGTATATGATTGGATGTTAAAAAGAAAAAGAAAATAAAAAAAGTAGATAAGTCCAAATTGAGTTGGACATCTACAATAAGAATTCAAAAAGGAATGATAACCCATGCTCCTTGTATATATATATATATATAAGTGGGGATTTGAAAAAAAAATTGACAAAGAGAAGAGCTGAAAATATTAACCGCACACCAAAAGAAAAGATTGAGGAAATTTTTAATAAAATTTTAATAAAAATATTATTCAATTTGTTCGTGTGTTCTATTGATCAAATAGTTGATTAGTAAATGTAAATATATAGATATGCATAGAATTTTGTATTTTCAAATAATTTTAATTTAAGAATCTGCTATCAAATATGTTTTACATTTGATCTTTAACTGACAATATAATTTTTGAAACATAAATAGATAATATTAGATTATTTTATATATTCTGTTGTGTGTTATAAATATATTACAATTTTACATCTAATTGATCTTCACTACTACTTCTTCGGTCAATAATCCTGAAAGCAACTTCTTGTCATTTTAAAGCTATAAAGAAATATTAATCAACAATTTGTGATAGAATTTGTCTGAGA